GGCAGACATTTTAATCAGTACAATATGAGGATATAAGAAATAGAAGGAATACAATTTAGAAAACAAACTACAAAGCCACACATATAACCTCAGCAACTCAGGAGCCTTTACTATGGAGAACTGCAAGTGTGAGGCTAGAATGGATGACTTAGCAAGACGCTGTCTCAAAATACAATTTTAGATCAGCTAGGGATGTAGTTCAGTGGTAGAAGACTTCCTTACCATGCACAAGGCCCTGGATTCAATCTTCAGTAACAAAGAAAAAGGAAAAAGAAAGAAAAGAAAAAGAAATCAAGCCATAAAACTGGCTTTATAGATTATATGACTGTCTATATAAAAAAGTCCAAAGATTTCTAGAAATAAAAATCAACAAACAAAAAACTCTTTTTGTAACTAATAAGTTCACGATGGTCACAGAATTCAAGATCAGTCCACACACATACACATATACACACACCTACACATAAGTCAATAACATTTCTACAGATTAACAAAATATAATACAAAAACTGACATTAAAGTATCTTCCTTCCAAGGAAAATTAAATACTTGGATGTAACGCTAACAGAAAGGTCCAATATCTGTATACTGAAAACTATAAAATTCTGATGAAAGAAATCAAAGACAATGTAATAAAAGATACATAATATTCATAGACTTAAAAATCAAACATAGTAAACATGTCAATTTTCCCCAATTTTATATATAAAATTAGTTAAATTCCTATCAAAATGCCAGCAAGGTTTTCTAACACATAAAGTTTTTTTCTAAATTTTATCTGTAAAGCTAGTCTTAGAATAGCCAGAATAATCTTTAAAAACAATGAAGCAGGAAAAATCACTCTAGCCAGTATTAAAGCTGTCTGTACAACTACAATAATCCAGAGAAGTTGTAAGCAAAAAAGGGATAGAGACATAAGTTAATTAAAGAAAACACAGAAGCCAGAAAAAAGACCTACACAATATGGCAATGCACATTTTTATACAACTGTAAAACCAACTGAATTAAAGGACAGTCTTTTTAACAAATGTTGCTAGAGCAAGTGGAATCTTACCTTATAGGAAATAAAAAAATGAACCACTTACTTTGGACCTTAAAACCACACACAACAATTAACAAAGATCACAGACTGAAATAAAAACTTTCAAAGTATAAAATCTTAAGGATCACATTCCAAAGTGATCAGAAAAAAATCTTAAGGAAAAAAATAACAGAAAATTTCTAGTATGTAAAGCTAGGTAAAACAACTTTAGACCTCTCACCAAAAATACTATCAGCTAGGCACGTATCTCTGGAAAGCGAAGGCAGGAGAATCACAAGCTCACATCCACACTGGGAAACTTAGAGACTTATTGTAACCATGTCAGAAAATATAAAATTAAAAAGGGCTGGAGATAAACCTCATTGCAAAGTCCTGGGTTCAATCCTCAGTACTGCAAGTAACTAACTACTAAATAAGTAATTAAATAAAAGCCCAATAAAATGAAAGAAAAACTGGACTTCATCAAAATTTGAAACTTCTTAATTTCTTAAAAAGTACATATATTTATATTAAGCAAAAATTATATTGCAGTAGGTGGTGTGTATTATATGTAGAAGCAATATATATTACTCATAGTTTAACACCTAGAAGTCATAACTGGTTGCATGGTTCATACATATTATGATACAATAAATACAATATTAAATCCACATAGAAAATAACAAGAATCAGAATGTAAATTGAGAAAAAAACAGAAAAATTTCAATGAAAAAGGCTGTACTTCGCAGGACCTTCGCCCTGAGCCGGCCTCATTGGGCAAGAAGAGCTGCTGGAATATTGGGGTGCACTGTAACAGTGACAGTGGTGGCTGGCTACCCAGGAGGCCTCAACAAAGAGACAAAGGACAGGAGGGCAGCACCGGATTTGGAGGACTATACTGGCTGGCACTATTGGCCTTGATAATTCATGACTGAATTAACTAAGGGTCACAGAAAGTACAGTGGAATAGTGCCAAAGAACCAGGAACTAGGCCAAATGAGCAATAACTTCTCATCTCCAACAAACTGAAGAAATAACAACTTCCAAGAGACTCAAAACTCAAAAACTAGCTACACCTGAAAGATACCTCAAAGAAATAATCATCACCCTAGGGTCCTAAATGCCACCAATGAGGCAACTCACAATAGGAAACTTATAAGCATAAAAAAATAAAAGAAATGAAAAGACATTTGAATAAGATGCAACCCCAGACATCCAGTTGACCAAAGGCAAATGCAGGGGGCAATGAGGTAGGACAAGATGAAAGTTCCACACCAGGTGGTAACAAAAAAGCAATTGAATGAGGATCTGGAAAAAAGAAATCAGAAATAATCTCCCAAATAACTACAGAGATTACGAAAATACACACCATGCTTAGTGACAGAACAGACACAGACAAAAAAAAATAGGCAAGCTTAAGTAAATTATGTAAGCTCAGCATAGGAAGTCATAGCTGACTTCTCACCACAAACTCTCAAGTCAAGGAGAGCTGGGAGTCAAGAATCCCAAGTTCTGAAGTAAAACAAACTTCAACCCAGAATGATGCATCTCACAAAACAATCCTTCAAAATAGATGGAGTAAAAGGAAAATTCCATAACAAAGAATATCTGAAGAAATTTATGATCACAAAACCAACACTCCAAAATGTGGTAAAGGATATTCTAGATAGAGAAAACTATCAATGGTAACTATCAATGGTAACTTTTAACTATCAATGTTAACGGTCTCAATTCACCAGTCAAAAGACAGAGACTGGACAAATGGATCAAGAAGCAAGATCTAACAATATACTATATACAAGAAATACCATTTAATCCAGAAACAAATTCACAGACTAAAAGTCAAAGGATTGAAAACAACACAACATGCAACAGGAACCCAGAAAAAAGCAGAAATAGCTATTTTATTTGCAGACAAAGTGAATTTCTAGCTTAGACTGATTAAGAGAGATAAGAAGGTCATTGCATCCTCTTAAAGGGAGCAATTTTAGAGGAACAAAAAACAATTATAAATATATATGCAACAAATACCAGTGCACCCAGCTATATAAAACAATTACAAATGAAAAATCAAACAAGCCCTAATATTATTGCATTGGGAGACCTCGATACTCCACTGTCAAAAAAAAGACAGATCAACTAGACAAAAATCAAAAAAAAATAGAACTAAATCAAATTTTTGAACAAATGGACTTAGTAGATGTCTATAGAGTATTCTACCCCACAACATCAGAATACACATTCTTCTCAGCTTCATACAGGACATTCTCCAAAATAGACCGTATACTGGCTCACAGAGCATGCTTAAGTAAATGTGAAGGAACTGAAATTATCCCATGCATACTATCAGACCACAGTGCAGTGAAATTGGAAATCCACACCAAAGGAAATAACAAGAACTTCATAAACACATGGAAATTAAATAGCACACTACTGAACAATCAATGGGTCACAGATTAAATTACAGAAGAAATTGCACAGTTTTTACAGTTCAATGATAATGACAACACAACATATCAGAACCTGTGGGACACAATGAAAGCAGTCTTAAGAGGGAAATTACAGCACTAAATATCTATATCAGGAAAACAGAGCAAATGCACAAAAACAACTTAATGTTTAACCTCAAACTTCTATAAAAAGAAGAGCAGGCTAAAACCAAAAGCTTGATAAGGCAGGAAATTATAAAGATCAGAGTCAAAATTAACACACTGGAGACTAAAAAAGCAATACAAAGAATCAAAACATCAAAGAGTTGATTCTTTGAAAGGTTAAATAAAATTGACAAACTCTTAGCTAATCTTATCAAAAAGAAGGAAAAAAGACTCAAATCCACACAATTAGGAATGAAAAGGGTGAAATCACAAAAGACCCTGCAGAAATCCACAAGATCATCTATACCTACTTTGAAAATTTCTATTCTAATAAGACAGAAAATACCGAAGAAATGGACAGATTCCAAAATACATATAAATTACCATAGCTGAATCCAGAAGATATAAAAATCCTATATAACTCAATATCAATAAATGAAACCGAAGACATAATTAAAACACATCAAAAAAGAAAAGCACAGGCCCTGATGGATTCAGTCCTGAATTCTACAGGAAATTTAGTGAAGATCTAACACCACTACTTCTCAAGATCTTTCATGAAATTGAAAGGGAAGCAATACTCCCAAATTCATCCCTGGAAGTACGCATTATTTGGATTCCAAAACCAGAGAAGGACTCAACTAAGAAAGACAAATGCAGGCCAATCTTCCTAATGTACATTAGGAAGTACATTAGGATGTACATTAGCTTTCAGTGACTTTTGTCTGAACTATGATGAATTTATGAAAGAAAATCATTGCTTCTCAGAAAAGTCTAGGTAGGATTAATTTGTTTAAGGGAATACAGAATCTCAAAAAATGTGTCCTACCTTTATCCTTGAGACATTCTGCACACATAATGGGGAAACTTGGGGCTGTGAAATAAGCGTAAGTCCAAGTATAGATACAGGCAAAACAATGGATTAACCTTCAACCACAGGCAAAATCTAGGATGAGTCAGCTGTAGCTTCAACTATTTTTTTTTCATTTTAAAGAGGGTAAAACAAAACAAACCAAAGAAGATCAGTAGAAAACAATGTATTTGACACAGACTTCAAAGCAAGACAACAGGATCAACATTGGTGATATAGACAACTATTCAGAAGAAAACAAGGAACATTATGGTGACCAATGTTGTGGTTACCATTAAATAAGACAACAGGATTAAAGATGAACTGTCCCATTTATAATAAATACCTTTTTGTTTTAGAGACAAGGTCTCACTATGCAGTTCAAGCTAGCTTTGAATTCACTATGTAGCCCAGACTGGCCTTGAACTTGTGGCACTCCTTATGCCTCAGCTTCCCAAGTGCTGAGATTAGAGACATGTGCCACCATGCCTGTTATTACAGTATTATATAATTAATATATAAAAGTTCTTCTCACCTCTGAAATTTGTTGGCAATGTCCTTCTAGTTGCTGGGATGGATAAATTTGCCCTGGAACATTTATGTCAACTTGCAGGACATTAGAAGTCATTTGAGAGCTTATCATCTGGTTTGAGAAATAGGGTAAACTGGGCTGGCTTGAAGTATCTGAATGTATCACTGATCCAGCTTCTGCTTCATATAAATTATCACCTATAACAAAGAAAGCAGTAACAGGCAGAAACTTGAACTTGAAGCACAATGACTAAATGGTATAAATAACAATAAATGTTTCTTTTATGGATATTATGTTTACCCTGAAAGATGTAAAGAGCTTCAAAACGGTTTTTATGTGGAAGAACAAATCAAAAACAATCATGTAAACTCTTTATTAAGCAATAAAATTGACATTGTGGTACAACTAAAATTTCCTTCTTTCCTTCCCTCCCTCTTCCTTCCTTCCTGTTGTTTTCTTTTCCTTCCCTTCTTTTTTATTTTACTTTTTTGTGGTGCTGGAGATGGAATCCAGGGCCTCACACATGTAAGCACACAGTCTGCTACTGAGCTACATCTTCAGTTATAAGTTCTCTTCACAAAATAAGACCTAAAGATAAAGAATCACATAAAAATTCACCTATATTGGTTAGGCATTTCATGTATCTCCCTTTACCATTACAATTTCAGTAAAATGTATAATAATCTGTTTCTTCTAGAAACTGGGAAGAAAAAATATGTACTTGTAGAACAATTGGTTATTGCTATGCAAATACTGTGTTCTGGAGAAAAGAATGCATTATAGCAGGAAAACAGAGAACTTTTTTTGGTGATACTTGAGATTGAACTGGGTACCACTGAACTGAGCAATATTCTGTGCTCTTTATTATTTTTTGAGACAGGCTCTCACTAAGTCACTAAGACACCTAGGTTTGACTTGAATTTGTGATCTTCATGCCTCACCCTCCCAGAGTTGTGGAATAACAGGTGTACATCTGACAAAAAATAGAGGGCTTTTGTTTATATTCCAATCAAAATTACAAAGAGTCTTAACATCTAGAAAACTTATTCTTGAATAAATCATATATTTAGCTCCAAGTTTTATTTATTAAAAGATTTACATTAGACCCTTAAAAGTGTAAGGCAGGGAACACGTCTATAATCCCAGTAATCAGGAGGCTAAAGCTGGAGGATCGCTGTGAGTTTGAGACCAGTACAGGCTATATAAGCAAGTTCAAGGCCAGTCTATACTACATAGTGAGGACCTATCTCAAAACAAAAACCAAAAGTGTTAGCAAGGACTGGATGTGGTGGTAAACACCTGGAATCCCCACTAATTGAGAGACTGAGACAAGAAGATTATGTGAATTCAAGGCCACTCTAGACTATGTAGTAAGACTCCTATGTTAAGAAAAAAATAGAGAAAAACAGCTGGGGATGCAGTTCAGTGGTAAAGTGATTACCTAGATGCCCTAGTTCAAACCCCCAATATCAAGTAAAATTTACTTTTTCTCCAAATAAAAACAGTGAATATAATACTTATGTAACTCATACCTTGAACAAGATACTCAACAGAACAATTTTTATTTATTTAATTTTATGAGACAGGGTCTCACTATGTTTCCTGGTCTCAAATTCCTAGGTTCAAGAAAACCTCCTACCTTACACTCCTAAGTGAATGGGACTACAAACATACATCACTGTGTTCAGCCAGAACAATTTCTTACTTTTGTTGTTGTTTTAAATTTTATTTGGGTTTTTAAGACAGGATTTCACTGAGTAGTCCATGAAGATCTTGAATTCACTATGTAACCTAGGCTGGCCTCTAACTCGCAGTAGTCCTCCTACCTTGGCTTCCAGAGTACTGAGATTACAGTGTTTTTAAGTCTGGCTTTCTTTTTTGATGCCTGGCTTTCTTGATTTAATTTAATTTGATGTTTCGGTTTTTTGAGACAGGATCTTGCTCTGAAGGTGGTCTGTAGCCAAGGTTGGCCTCAAATACATGGCAATCCTGCTATCTCAACACTCACCACACCCAGCCTAATTTTTTTCAGGATTAAAATAGGGATACTCACCCTTTCAAAGGTTTTATAAGTGGTTTAAATAAATGATAGTGTTATGGTTTATGTTGGTCGTCCCCAGGCCTCATGCATTTGCATTGTGCATTTGTGACCAGTTCATTGTCCAGCACTTGGATTGGGGGTATGAGTGTTACACTGGCCTAGGGGTAGAGCCAGGATGTAATGTAATGGGAGGAAAAAGGTGTGTCTCACTGTCTTGCTGGTTTCTGCCTTGCTGTTTGCAGTGGCCATGAACTGCGGCCCCGCCATGCCGCCATGCACCCTGCCTTACTGGGTAGGGACTGAAACCTTCAAAAACTGTAAGAAATAAACCTTTCCTTTCCTAACTTTGCATTTTGCCTCAGTGACCAGTAAAAAGTAACTAAGACAGAATTTGGTACTGAGGAGTGGGGTCATTTGCTGTTACTATACCTGACCATGTTTTTCGAGAGGCTTTAGAAATGGCTTGTGGGCAGAGTTTTGAAAAGTACGAACATTACACCTGGATTCATAGAGCTGGAGCAGCTTAGGCTGTTCTGTACAGGAGATTCTACTCAGAGCTCAGAAGACCAGAAGGCTGATAGAAATCCTCATGGTAAAGACCAGGATTGGAAGGTTTCTGCTGGGAAGGTGCACTGCATTGGTTGTTGGACTCTCCATGATGTGTGTTATGGCTTGGCATAAAGTTTGTCTGCATTTTGCTTATGCCCAGAGACTTTGCCTGAGACTGAGACAAAGGGCAATGGATTGATTAATCTGTTGAAGGAAATTTCAAGGCAGTCGAATGTTGAGGCTGTGGCATGGCTATTGTTGGGGGCTTTTAGCCAGCTTTATGTTGCAAATCAAGAGCAAAGAGCCCAGCAGGATAATTTACAACTCTGTGAATTTGGCCAGAAGGAAAATTCCAGGAAAGTTGTGGATTGAAAAGACAGAGTTGAGACTTTGATTGCTGAGAAGAAACAGAGAGATAAGAAAGATGGCCACAGGGCATCCCAGGAAGCAGTGGATCTCCACCTTTTGCAGCCTCAAACTGCAAAAGGGATAAAGAATTTGCTCAGAGGAGAAAGCTGCAGAGCACCATGCTCCAGAATGGCAATAGAGGCCACATGAGGTTCCAGAATGGCGGCAACATAGAGAAACTTTTCTTCACAATCAGGTTCACAGAACCCAATGATCCAGGCAATTGACCCCTACAGCAAAGGTAGAAAAAATCCTGGCTACTGCTCCAGCTGGCAACAAACCTTGGCAACATCTACATGGTGCTGATTTTAGGTGCAAGGAAAATGCACAAATTCTGAGGGTAAGATGGCTTCCACCTCGATTGCAAAGGGCCTGGGAGGCCAAGCAGTGTGCCCCTGAAAGGGCAATTTGTGAAGATGTAAAGGTGAAGCCAAAGGTGCAGTAGAGATCCCAGAAGTTTGGAAAAGCCAGGAACGTGGATGATCCAAGGAAAGCTGCAAAACGTGAGCAGACACAGTTTAAGAGAGAAGCTGTAGGAGCTGAAATTCCTAGAAGTAGGTGGCTTGGGGGTGGAATCACCCAAGCCTTTTTGGAGCTTACAACCAGATTGCTTCAAATGCTGAGCATGGAAGTCTAGGACTTAATGTTCACCCTGCTGGATGTTGGACTTGCTTTGTTTCCAAAGCTTTATATTCCCTTGTTTCTAACTTTTGCAATGGTAATGATTATCTTGTGCCTTTGCGTTTCAGAAATGTTTAAACTTGTTTAATTTGTACAGAGGGTTCCAGTTAAAGAATTTGCCATAGGTCTTGGAAGAGACTTGGGACTTGGACTTCTCAGCAATGCTGAAACTGTTAGGTCTTTGGCAACTCTTGGGAGATGGACTAAATGTCTTTTGTATAAAGGGTGTACATACATGAGTCCTGGGGTCCAGGGGTGGAATGTCATGGTTTATGTTGGTGGTCCCCAGGCCTCATGCATTTGCATTGTGCATTTGTGCTTGGTTCATTGTATAGCACTTGGATTGCAGATGTGAGCACTACTCTGGCTTAGGGGTAGAGCCAGGATGTAATATAATGGCAGGAAGAAGGTGTGTCTTGCTCTCTTGCTGGTTTCTGCCTTGCTGTTTGCAGCAACCATGAAACTTCAGCCCTGCGCCATTCCACCTGCCTTGGAGCCAACTGAGTATGGACTAAAACCTCCAAAAACTGTAAGAAATAAACCTTTCCTTTCCTAACTTTGAGCATCAGGTATTTTCTCTCAATGACCAGTAAAAAGTAACTAAGACAGGTAGATAACAGAACACTTTGAAAAACACGTATGTGTGACTGAAAGACAATTTGCTTTTTCAAATTGCATCTACTTTTACCTCTAACAGAGAAATAATCCTGCTGTGGTTTTCTTTGTAGAAGCTGTTGTTTAACATGTTGATCAACTTCAGTTTCTTCACATTCAGTCCTGGTGTACTGAGTGGGAGCAGTGGGCAAAGTTATAGTTTGGTTCTGAGTGAATACAGCTCCCATAGACTTGAATTGTGAATCTCTATGTTCTTCCAAACAACCAGCAGGCTTCTTCTCTCTGGACTTTTTTATCAGGGTCACCCGGTCTCTAATGGATTTAGCAACAGCTTTAGAATCACTTTCATGGAAGAATCCAGATTTGACCTACAAACAAAACATAAAAAGCCAGCTAACATTTAAAATTTTAGCCTTTTTTCACTACAAACATTATTTTATGTCCAAAATTCCAAATGTTATAATTAAAGACATGCATATGCAAGAGCCTTTAATTGACATAAGAAAACTATTAATACTACCAAGCATTAGTGAAACATTTCAGGCTTTAAACAAAAATAAATAAAATCTGACGTTTTAGTATGATACATGCAGACTTGATACAGATAATTTATGAATGCCATTAAGTTTTGTCAAAGATTAAGAGTTTCACCATTCCATGGTGCCCAGTACTGAGCACCAGATAGATGCATGTGACTAAATTAGTCATTTGTCCTGAATGAGCAGAAAATCTGTGAGTGTGATATGGATAAAAATTCAAATTGAAATGAGGTATAAATGAGATGCTGAAAAAGCCCTGAAGGAAGAACTCATGCCTCTCTAGAGGAAATAAAGTGTCACAAGGAAAGAACCTTGGACCTCTAAAAGAGGAATGAGCAGACTATTAAGGAAAGTACAAATAAAGACTGGAAAGAAGATCAACATTCTGGACAGAAGGAAATAATTATCACAGCAAAGTAGTGTATCTTACTAGACATTAGAAGAATGAGAAATGAGGAAAAGGCTCTGCCCTGTTGTCTCAGAGGAACAGGAGATGATGCTTCAGGAGGTACAATGGCATGTCATTCTCAATCTGACAGTCTGCTTTCTAAAGCATATCTTGGAGCCAGGCTTGATGGCACATACCTGTAATCTCTGCACTCAGGAGGTTGGGACAGTAGAATTGTTATAATTTCAAGGCCAGCCTGGACTACAGAGTGAATTCAAGGCCACCCTGAACTATACAGTCTGTCTAAAAACCGCAGCATACCTTGTGGGTTTTGCAGACTTCTGGAAATTTTATGGTAGTTTAACAATGATTAAAATGCTAGACAAAACACACATATCTAATTGTGCTCCCTCCCAAAGCTTCAAACAACAACAACAACAAAAATAAGTAGATTTTAAAATTATAAACTCAAAATAATAGGGAGAGTAAAAAAACAAGTAAGACATATTTATTAGCTTAGAATATAGAAAACAAATGCAAAAAAAGTAAGCTAGCAGACTTGGGAAAGGTAAACCACAGAAAAGTGATAGTGATTCCCATTAATACTTAAGAATACATAAAAAGCACAGAACTGGCAGCACTAGGTACTTCCATGACTGAAGGTAAAGTCAAAAAGGATGGCTAAAATAAGGAAGACTAGACTGAAGAGTTCTGAAATTCAGTTACATAAGTACCTATACTCTACTTGCCACTCGACATCTCATCATGATTGCTCTTCTCTTACTCACAAAAGCAGAGCTTTTGTCTCTGGGGAGGGTAAAAGACAGTACTGCTGGACTGTGAACGCCAAGCACAACTGAGAATACAGCTACCATGTTAAAAAAACAAAACTATTATCACTTTTTGGCCTTTTCAGTAAGATCAGATGTAAAAACAAAACAAACTTATGTAGCTGGATATCAATTCAGAAACACTACCTTTGCTTCTTGGCTAATGGTAATCCTACCACAGTCAAACATAACAAGTCCTACACAAGCAATCATACCATTTAGTCAGCGTATTTGTCCCTGTGGTGGAAAAAGATGTTTCCTCCAAAACTCCAAACCTTTCTACATGACACCTATCACTGTGTTTGCTATATAAGGCACAGTTGACCCTAAGCTAGGGTGACTATCTGGATAAAGCTTTAACCAGTAGGTGACTTCTGATAGATCCAATATAGCATTACTGGCTTTCAAGATGGTGTACGAGGTACTTGAAAGAACTAAAAAGTTTTAGCTTCTAGATGCTGTAAGCAGTCTCCAGCTAACAACCAGGAAGAAAACAGGGAACTAAATTTTACAACTATATGGAACTGAATTCTGTCAACCACTGGATAAGCCCAAATCAGATTCTACTCCACAGCTTCAGATAAGAATTAGGCCAAATTTGCCTCAATTTTAGCTTGGTGAGATCTTAAGAGAATCAACCTGATCCCACCACAACTTCTGCCCAATATAACTTAGAGATAATAAATATGTAACTATTGTTTTAAGGTATGAAATTTGTTATGCAGCATTAGAAAACTACTATAATCAGTATTCGAAATAAGAGTCAAAACATTAACTTTACAGACTTGTGTTATAATGTTGTATAAACAAAAAAAGAACAAGATGTTTACTCTAAAAAAGGAACATAAAAAATAAAAATAGAAGGAACATAAAAAATAAAAATAGAAGCCAGGTGTGATGGCACATTCCTGCAATCCCAGAACTGGGGAAGCTGAGCCTGCAAGATCACTGCAAGTTCGAGGCCAGCCTGGGCTACATGAAGAAAGAAAGAATGAAAGAAAGAACGAAAGAAAGGAAGGAAGGAAGGAAGGAAGGAAGGAAGGAAGGAAGAAAGAAAGAAAGAAAGAAAATAAACTCTTGAAATTCAAAACATGATAGTAAAATTGAAAGTTTAATAGAAAAATTAGAAAATAAGTGTCATAGCATCTGCAAGAGAGAATTTTAAAAAGACGAAAAATAAAAAAGATATGAACATTGGCAAACTAATCCAAGAGGTCCAATATCCAAATAGCAGTAGTTCCAGAAAGAAAAAATCATTTATTAAATGCTTCAAGAAATTTTCCAGAGTTCAGCATGTAGTGGGTACCTCAAATCCTAGCACTCAAGAAGGTGAGACAGGAGGATTGCTGCAAGTTCCAGGCCAGCCAGGGCTACATAGTAAGTTCAAAGCCATCCTGAACTGCTAAGCAAAATCACAAAGCTAAAAAAAAAAAAAAAAAAAAAAACACCAAAATCCTAGAAACCAAAGTATGTATTTTGCAGAGTATGGTGGCATACACCTATAAGCTCAGCAATCATGTTCAACACCAGCCTGAGCTACATAGTGTCAAGACCAGGCTGAATGACACAGTGATACCCCACCTCAAAAAAACCAGTAAGTGAAACACATGATCTAACAAACTAAAAGAGTCCAGGGAGTACCTAACTTAGTGGAGAGAAACAAATTGAAATTGAATTATTTTAGTGTAAAATTTTAGATCAATGAGAAGAAAAAGATATTACAATCCTCCAGAGAGGAAAAAAATGGATCACAAGCATAATATTACGACTGAGAACAAATTTGGAATTTTCAACACCAATATCAGAAACTTAAAAGAACATGGAACAATGACTCCAAACTAAAAACAAAAAACTGTCAATATCTAAAATGATTTGGCAAGCCACAATGATCAATTAAGTACAAGGACAGAAAAAGGCATTTTCATGCATGCAGTCTCAAACAATGTATTTCCCATGTACTCTTAAGGTGTTAGATGGACTTCCTGGAAGATGACAGAGCAGTATGCAGCAGTGAAAACAACCTAAGAGTCACCGTGCAGACACTGGAATATAGTTATCATGAGGAAGACAAAAATGAGAAAAGAAGATCCCATGGACCTAGGAAAAATCTGAAGTGTGAATTAAAGCCCACAGAGAGTGAAAAGAAAAACTTCAACAAAAAATGCGGCGTTGGCTATGTAAGAGGAGCTCTTTGAACCTGGGGATTCATGATCATGGTGACAGTGATGGATGGCGATCCCAGAGGCCTCTGCAGAGAGACTCAGCAGTGGAGGAGATCAGCAAATATGGAGACCTGAGCTGGCTGTCAGTGAGTGCAGAGGACTCAGTTCTCCCTTGGGAGAGAGCAATTAGCTGGTAGCTGTGAGCCGTCTTGGAGACAGGCTGGCTGAGCTCAGAATCCTGAACTGCTGGCCAGCTTGCCAGGCAGGCACTTGTGCCACTGGACTAAATCCACAGGCCTCATCTTGCAGTTCCCAGCTGGACTCAGACCCTTGATAATGCTGGGACTGCAAAAGCCCAATGAGTCCGGTCTTGGGCCAGGCCTGCTGAGGTTATCTACTACCCATCAAAAAGGTTCTGCTGGCTTGCTAAAATAGACCAGTATGATTTGGGACTCTGTCTATACAGGTTGTCTACTAGTGAAACCAGACAAAATCCAGGAAGTGGACTTTTTGTTTTTCTAATTTTTTTCCTTTTTTTCTCTTTCTCCATTGTTTCTAGATGAGTGTGAAAGTGGTTCCTAACCTTTTCGTGGGTGTGATTCTATTTTGTTCTTCCTTTTGTCTCATCCACCTCTCTTTTCCTTCAATCTTCTACACCAGTTTGCCAAAGTTCGCTTGACATCCATTTGTCCTCCAACTTTATTTGTAATCTTACTCTTCTTCAACTTCTCTATCGTCTCCTTAATCCATTTTAGAGCTTAATCCTTGAGGAAATACTAACATAGTAAGCAATTCTGTATTGCACACAATCATCTGGTTTGCTTCACATTTTGTTATGTGATCACAAATCTAGTTCATATGGGTAAAAGTTGCAAATTAAGTGTTAGCTCAGTTTGTTATTTTATAGGGTATGTTTGATGCTGATGGTACTACTACAGTCAAAAATGACTTAATTGGAATAGCTGAAAAGATGGTGGCTTGATAGGTAGCCGGGTAGTGAGCCTCTCTGAGAAAAACAACTCAGACACAAGAATTTAACACCATGGAGAAGATCAGACAAAAGGAGAAGAATTCTCAAGACCCAGGAAGAAACTGAGGAAAAAGAAAAAGAAACAAAGGAAGAAAAAGAAACGGAAGAAAGGCTGGAACCAGATACACTCTCAGTGGAGCCAGTCCCATGCTATGTTGGATACACCTTGGAGTTGGACAACTCACAGTCGAGTTGAAGTCACAGTCTCCAAAACTTTGGGCTGATGAGCCCAGGGCCCTTGGCAGGAGGATGCAGCACAACAGAGAGAAGAAGCAACTTGGAGAGCATATTAACCCATGGTGAGTGCTAGGAATTGGGTCCCACGGGGTTGGGGGGTGACCAACAGGATGGGCCTGAACCCGGAAACCACAGTGGCATCAGTTGGCTACCCCTGGCCCAAAGAGGACTGTTGGGATTTG